CATCTATGGGGCTTTAACGCCACTACTTCCGTTTGCAAGAAGCCAGGTACCTTCCCTGTATTCATAGAATCATAGAATAGTTTATAACAATATATTTAAAATAATATATTTTATCCCAGCAGTGAAGATAACCAAAGGTCCTTACAGAAGCACAATCATCAGCTATTAATTTCTTCAAGATAGAATCATAGAATCATAGAATAGTTAGGGTTGGAAAGGACCTTAAGATCACCCAGTTCCAACCCCCCTGCCATGGGCAGGAACACCTCACACTAAACCATCTCACCCAAGGCTTCGTTCAACCTGGTCTTAAACACTGCCAGGGATGGAGCATTCACAACCTCCCTGGGCAACCCATTCCAGTGCCTCAGCACCCTCACAGGAAAGAATTTCCTCCTTATATCCAATCTGAACTTCCCCTGGTTAAGTTTTAACCCCCCTTGTCCTCAGAGTGCTGTAAAAACAAACTGTACAGAAGGCAGGCTCCCAGCAAAAGCTGGACTGTAAAACATAACAGAGACAGGCTGGAAACATGCAGCTTGTAGTTATGCCTGTAACAAAAACTTACCACAGGTACTGTAGAATACACAGGTATCAGTGATAGTAATGGAGAGGTCATCTTTATATGGGAAATTATGTTACATGGATCTTTCTTTGTCCCCCAAACTATTTGAGCTGAAAATGCATTTAATAGAAACATGGGATTTAGAATTCGAGTACGTTACAGTAGGATGATTGGATGTAGAATCCTCCCAGCTTTGTTTCTCATTTTCACTTTAAACCATTTTGTGTTTCTTTCCATTCTGGCTTTACTGTCTCCAGTCCTGCAAGCCAGCTGCCAAATCTCCCCATTTGTGGGCCAAATGGAGTCATGAAAGCCCTTTCATATGTGTCTTGTGCTGTCATACCTCCACACTGTCTCCTCCTTCTATCAGTAGAAGCAAGCTTGCAGCACAGCACTCGATGAGAATGTTGCCTCTGGCACATTCAACAGGAGTTGGTAATGTCAAGGAAAGATTACTGAGCAGGGCAGAAAGCCTGGCTCTCCTCTCCAGTGTTACAAATACATGGTGAAAGCGCAGGATGAGTTTTGCATTACTCAATAAAACTGTTTTGGAGAGGACCACAGAAATTGAGAAGTGCTACGTCAAGATTTTACACATGCTCTGAAACGCAGGGCAATGATGGTCTGGTTGATGAACAAAAGGAGTCAACAGGGATTTCCTCTTAGCACAGCAGTATTCAGCATGCCACACTAGTCCTTCAAACACTGTCTCAGACTTGCCCTCCTTTGGCATTTGGAAGCAAACTGGCCTTCGGATGCTAGGGCAGAGACATAAATACTTGATCTGCTCTGACTCCTCAGAGCTCCTCGTTTCTTCCAATACCAACAAGAGGACTTTTTCCTATTGATTGCTTCTTGCAATTGAGCTTACCAAATAGAACTTCCCTCAAATGATTCTTCCAAGTAATCTGATAGAAAACTAACCTTGTTATATTTATTGACAGAACATTGAAATAAATATTATAGGTCTGCAGGGAATGTTTCAGGTCATTGATTAGGTTTTTTTTAAAGGAACTAACAAATGCACTGTATCCCCGTTGGTAAATTATGCTGGGAATAATCGGAAAAAATGCTTACCTTGTTCAAACTGCATCTCAAACCCAACTTCTTCCTGTCCCCAAAGAGCAGGCACCCTTTGAATAAATGTGATCTTGAGCAAACAATTTGCAATTTTAATTGTTTGCAGAATTCTCCTTGTGCAGGAAAGGAAAAGAAACCAGTTTGTGCCTTTACCTGCAGCAGGGAGAAGATGTGAAGTTTGGAACACGTCATTTGTTTCTCAGGAATGGGAAGGGTGTGGAATCAGCCACTGGGAGTTTAATACATTTCACTGAAACTTTTAGTATCCTTCACTACTTGTTTCTACCCTGAAAAGCTTTTTACAAATAAGGCAACGCTCAGATGCTTACATGAGGTTTTGTCTCTTCAACAGCACGACTTGAAGAGCCACCATCCACAAATAGCCAAAGAGCTGCTTTTGCAAGACTTAGATTCAGTCAAATAAGCTCCGAGGGCAGGTTCTCCGACTTCCTAGAGACAATCATTCGAAGTAACAGGAGATGATAAATGCAAATGTATTAGAGCACAATGCCACAGAGCTCCCCAAAACACTGTCACTTGCATTATCCGAACAGCCTGACATCACCTATTTCACTATGAGGACCTAACAAGACACTAATGTTTTTAGAGGCTTTAAAACCTGAAACTAGACCTTGAACACAAACAAACAGGAAAAAACCCCAACCCAACCAACCAAAGGATCCTACAGTTAAAGCTCAGACCACTTGTGAAAGCTCACTGCGGACATGCTACGAGCTGCATCTCAGTTTTATTCACCTTGAGGGTCCCTCACCGAGTCAAAAGCATTGCCACAACTGTGAGGAAGCTTTCTGTGATTAGAAGACCAAGGCCTAGTTTGACCAGGGATAGAATATGATTATACTCCTCCCACAGGACCAAGCATGAACCTCATCTGTATATGGCTTCTAGCTAAAGAGCACTGCTACTGAAAGTAACTTATTCCTTGCCAGGGGTTATATCCAGTGTCTTTTCTGTGGACATCATGTATAAAGCTTTTGTACACTACTGAAAAAAGAGACATGTGAAGCCTTCTGGATAGGATCTGCTCATGAGGAACTGCAGGATTCTTTTCAGCTCTATTCACTGTTAGAGCTCTACTGACTGAGCATGCAGACTCCGAATTCTTGCCATAAAGAATCATTTCATACAAGTTTTGCAGCAACAGTAATGTCTTCCCAGCATACTGGGTTTTGATTAACCTCGGAGAGCATTTATGAATTCACACTGTCCAGGAGGGTTACATGGAGATTAAGCCACTGCTTTTGATGGAACTTTTCCTACTGACATTGTACAACTATTCAAAGGGATAAACACTTATGAAGAGAGGAAAATAAAAAGTACCTCTTACTGGCAAAGCTGGTCATCATTTGGTGCTCATGGCTCCTGGTACCCACTGACTGTCCCTCCTGGAGAGGCATATGGCTTTCCCAAATATTACTAAATGCTTTTTTAATGGTCCCAGTGGAAATGGTTTAGAAACAAACACGAGCACAGTTTCTTACTGCTGGATGCCTTGTGTCTGTTCGTTCAATATGTGTGTTCACACACATGCACAGGGGAATGCCCTACTCCATTTAAGACAGCAGAAACTCTCTGCACTGTGTTTTACTCTGTGAAGGGTTATGTGTACTTTGTGGAGGGTTAGTATAAGAAGAAATGGAGAACAGTATGGTCACTCTTTCTAAAGCCCTTTTCTGTTCCTTAAGTAAAGGACCACAGTCTTCTCACAAGCAGCATGCAGACTTGCTTCATGTATTGACTTGAGCATGTACTGACAGTGCACAACAGCATAACGTGTCCTTTGTAAAACCAGAAATCCTTCAAGATCTATGCATGAACTTTGAACAACAATATTTACTGGAAAATGCAGAATAGCTCCAGTTGGAAAGGGACTACAACGATCATCTACTCCAAGTGTTACCTGGTCTGGGAAGCAAGTCACAGGGAAGCGGTATAACCAAGATGTACTTTGGGCCTTGCACACTGCCACCTCGTGGTAATTCAGCCCCAAATTCTAGAACTACATGAGCCCCAGACGCTAAACGTTCTTTTGAATATGAAAAGGCAACAGCATTTCCTGGCATCACCTCCTAGAAACACCAGCGAGCCAAAATAAGCATGTAAGTTATACAAACCCTGGTGCTGCTTTCTGCTTTAAAGGAGCTGTTCTTGTTGCATCACGTAGTGGCTGCCTCAAAAGACCAACTCACTAATATCAGGCTTTCCCATACACAGACAGCATCTGTTACACTGAGGGTCTGTGAATTCCTACAGCACCATTCATGATGGAGTCATTAAGAGGGCTGGATACTGAAAGGTAGATCATTATTTAAAATGCCATTTTAGATGAAGCTAAATTGAAGCAAGGCAGTCAAATGACTTCCAAACTCCCAGATGGGTAGGAAAAGAAACAGGAACCACTGAAGCCGACTGTGGTAACATTTACACTACACCAAACCTGTGTTAACTACAGTGAATTTGAATAACAGAGACTAATAACATACACACAAGACAGACTGCAGTAACCACAGAAACACTGCGGCCCCTACATGCTGCCCACCCTGGTTCAATTCTTCTCCTGCAGGAATTGGTCCACTCATTTTTGAGAACACGTGGATTACAAATTGAGGAAAAAGAGAAAATCCATTGGTGTGAACTGGCACAATTCCATGGACTCTGTTGGGAGATACCCAGGTCTGCAGCAGGGAGTGACCTGCATCAGCGTGTTCAACAAAGAGAACTCGCCCTTGGTGTGTTTAAGAAAGACCAACATCTGGGCAACAATATCAGTTTAGATATGTATTCACCCAAGTTTTCCACGGTGTCTTGCTCCCCTCTCTTTCAAAGGCAATTCACAAGAGTTGTTCAAATGATCAAAGACAGCCATTGCCACTTTCTTCTCACTAGAAAAGGCAGCATTGGCTACAAGTCCAATACTTTTTGCAATGCTTTTTCTCACAGCAGTTTTGGGGTGATGTGAGCTGCAACTTGCACACGGAGTTAATCACACTGCTGCACATTTTGCTTTCCAGAACCTCGGGTAATTGGCAGCACAAGGCAACCCTTTATAATGTAATACCTTATGCTGGGCCACCATACTGTGAGACCACAGAGTTGATAACTCACCTACCAGGAGCTGACAGACTACACTGGAAATTGGAAGAGAGAGAAGGGAAAAAAAAAGAGGGGGGGAAATAAAGAAAGAAAGAGGGGGAGGGAGACAGAGAAATACATTTTTAAAGATAACCTGGAGGCAAATATAATATTTATACTTATTTATCCTCACAGCACAATCATAAGCCCCAAAACATGTCTAATGAGGTGGAATTGCAAAATGGCCATGAGTCCTCCTTACTTGGCTTCTCAGTGGTCTCTTAGCAGTCACATGGATCTGTATTTTTCAACTATGTGACTGCTGCAGGCAAAACTCCTCTAAGTAAGAGCGAGAGTCACAGCAAGTCCTTAACTCCCAGTGGTATTCAGCCACAAAAATGCCAACCTAGGGAAAATGAGAAGACAGGCAAAAAAAGTTGCAGGGGCAATTAAGCTCTGCAGACAACTGCACTTAATGCTTGGCTCACATCTGCAGGGCGTCCTCTGCTCCGATGAACTTTCATTCACAGCTTCCCTCAACTCTTTGAATGGCCTCAACCCTTCGAGCCTCCATAAAGAATCAGAAATATGAAAGAAATCAAAACATGTCAGAGAGTTCTTCAATGTCATCACAGAGGAACAAGCCTCAACTTGGTCAATATTGTGCCTTCCACCTGTCTTTTAGCAGATTCCAGCTTTATTTCAAGCCTTTTTAGAAAATATGTGATACTTCTAAAACTATTATCCTTGCTTCTAGTCTGAATCTACCCTCTTCTAGTTTAAAGCCATTCCCCCTTGTCCTGTCACTACCTGCCCCTATCAAAAGCCCTTCTCCAGGGTTCTTGTAGCCCCTTTAGGCACTGAAGCTGCTCTAAGGTCTCCCTTTAAGGAGCCCTCTCTTCTCCAGGCTGAACCAGGCCAGCTCTCTCAGCCTGGCTCCAGAGCAGAGCTGCTCCAGCCCTCTGATCATTTTTGTTCTTTCTTAAATGTCCATTTTTTGTAGATGTCAGATTTGCAGCACTTTAGAACCAAAAACATTCCCTCCCCAACACAAAACTACCTGTAAGGCATCTTTGGCATTACAGATGCACCAGGGGTCTAAGCTGAGCCAGCTGACCACCACTTACTTGAACACCGTGGTTCTGAGGAGCCTCTTTTCCTCACTGCATTGCAATCTGTTGCAGGTTCAGCTATATCAAAACCAGAAATTAATACTACTGAAGGCTGTAGAAGTCAGTGTGAAGCTACTTTTAAAACTATTGCATGAATGACTCACTCATATGGAACAGACAGACTGCAATAAAACAGACCCCCAAGAGGTGCCATGTCATAACGCTGTGCACTGAAAAGATGCTCTCTGATCTCTCTTCATACTGGGTGTCACAATTACATTTTGTAATCAGTAAGCTTAGTATCTTTCAGACTTCATCTGACATTGCAGATTTCTCCCCGTTTCCCATCCAATTCAGTTACTGAAAGTCAGTAGGAATAAACTTTATCCTTTCTCTTTGGAAAGCAACAAAAATGTTCTCTTTGAACATTGTTTTTTAGATATTTATGTAACTAAACAATAAAGACAGCGGCGAACGTACATCATTCTGATACAGAGCTGGCTTGAATTCCTGAGAGGTACAGAACGACCTGCTGTGTAATATAACAGCCTGAAACTGGGTGCTGGTTTATAATGTTTATAACTAAAGGAATACTTAACTGCTTGATGGGATACGACAAATCAGCTTTTACGTCTATTTGTGATCTCTGGTAGGAAACAGCGTACTACACGACCAGAGCCAATAATTCAGCTTAATCTGTTTGATTCATTCACTGTGGCTTTCACTTCTAAGACATAATTTCAAATCTAGCCCTGATCAACGTGACAGAAAATCTTTGTGATCTGAGTCACAAGAAGGGTCACAGTTACAGAATTTCCTAAGCTTTAGTTTGATTCAAAGGACAGAAGCCCAAAATGTGGAATAAGCAAACAGTCACAACACCCACAGCCATGAAATCTCCAAGTATCCTTGATCCTCCTATGCAACACAGCATTGCTGACTGGGATCCTAAAATCCTAATGAAGAAAACCCATGCAGCTCCAGCACAGACACAAGCCTGCTTGTTCTCACACCCCTTTCCCACAGCCCCATGACAAGTGGATGGTGCGGTGGGGTTAGATGACGCTCAGCTGCTGTTCCCAATGCACTACAGAGATCCCCAGGTAGTTAACTTGTGACATTCCCACCTGTGTCTGGGGAGCTGACCTTTTCAAGCCAGCATGGCTGGCAGCTGTGACACAGGTTACATCTCTTCAGTGCAAAGCCTGTGACAGTCACTTGACCCTTCTCAGCAGTGAGCAAATGCATTGTCTGTGGCCAGAGAGGGGAAAACGCAGCCTCTCTGCTTTATGGATTCCTCACCCTATATACACTGAGCCATTTGTCTTCGCCTGTGTGCCCCACGTACAGTCATATTTATGTACCTGTGGGGGCTGTAAGGAGCTTATTTATTATTTGTTTTCATTTAATGATCTCTGTCATTCTCCCCTAGGAATACCCATACATGCTATGCAAATCATATTAAGCCCCTGGCAATAGTGAGAATGCCTTGAGCAGTAATATCTGGTACATTAGCTCTTTGAATGCAGGCAACTTGGTTACTGAACTAAGTCCTTCCCTGCACTTCCCCCCCCCAGCCACCCTCATTTGCTGATAGTGTAATTCCCCTCCCTAACTCACAGTCTTTTCTAGGAACTGGTTAGGGCTTGCTCCAGGCTGCTTTTCCCCCTAATAACAGCACTGAGGCCAGTGCTTTCCCAGTGGTGGTCTGTGACCCCCATCTCTGGATGGAGGCCGATTTGCACGCCAAGAGCTTACAATGGCACACCAGGGGAAGAGAAGCGAATCAAACAGTTCTCTAGCAACTACCTTTAATTTCGGCAATGACTTGGGATGATGTGGGCACTGCATGACCAAGCATCTGAAACAAGATGGTGAAAGAAGAGGTCAACAAATCATAGTTAACCCCTATGCTAAAAGAGCATCCATAACATGGTGAGAAAGTGTGAGAAGCGACCTAACCAGAGCGCTGCAGAAGCTTGCGCACAGTGGACTGACCCTGGCACTTAGAAATGTGTGTTTCTTTGCAATGACTTCTCCTATAATCTTTGCCAGTTCACTTACCCTTTCTAAATCTCATTTTCATAGCTGTGATACAGGGATAAACCCCCCGAGTCACTGCTGTAGAAATGAGGGAGGTCTGAACTGCAAACAAAACCATGATCATCATAAAAATCACTGCTTTTGTTAAGGGAAAAATTTGATGTTTCTCATAACCCCTTGTCATGAGCTTTCCAGTGCCCAGCATGTGACAGCCTTGCTAAAAGTCAGGTCTAACAAGTCAAATAGCACTTTCAAATGCATTATTTTGAAAACACATACTACATTTCAACTTATCCTTCATTATCCTTATCCCTGTCTCCTTTTAGTTCTCTGCATTGCTGCTTTGCTATTCTAGTCCACATGATCTGCACTTTGATTAATTAATGTATTCTGATTATTTAACTCCTTTTTCTTTTTTCCATATTCTTCTTCCTTGATTTTTCTTCCCTTATCTCCCTTTCAGTCTTTTCTTTGCATCTCTTTCTATTTCTGCTCTCAAGTAATGGTTTTTCTTTTCATCTCTGCTTCTTCCATTTATTATCTTCATATATGGAAAAATATACACTAATACCTCCAGGGAAAATAATCCACAATGCAGACACTCAGTGAGAGACAGAGGAGATCCAAAGAAGCTGCAGTGCTGAAAGAGATCTAGCAGAGACAGCAAACTGAAGATTAGATATGGGTTTGCAAGAAGATAGGGCTACAGGAAAGGCTAATGAAATCTTGTCAACATATGCAGAGGCATCACCTTGTGTTACAGACCAGAGAGATTTAAATCCAGCCTTATAGGGATTTCTTGTTAGCTCATATGGAATACTGCATTAGGCTGTGTGTAATATGTTGCCTTAGCAATATACCTGTCTATCCAGGTATTTATATTGTCTGTATTGCCAATATTCAGCGCAGAACTGACAACAACCTAAAGGGAATTCAGAGAGGATCCACAGAAAACCAAGAAGCAGCTGAAAGAAGAACTGCAAAAACCGATGGGAAATGCTGACCAGCACTCTTAGCTTGGTCAGGAAGGGGTTAAAGAGCTTGCAAGAAAAGGGGCAAATACAGACTATATCCGATTAGCAAGGAGGGAGAAATGCATTTGCACACCACGCACAAAGAGATGAAATGAAACCAGGAGAAACACAGGTTAAATTTCATGAAAAACCTGAGGTTGTGGAAGAGCATCCCAGGTTAAGAGCCACCACTTGGGACTTCAATGGCACGACACAGATGTTATGCTTTCTTTAACTGTCCCCAGCCATGCGCTGAGACGCTGCACTTCACAAGACGTTTCCATCAGAAACAGTCACTTTCAGTTTAACTTGCACCAGGTATTAAAAACTCTCTCCAAAATAGCTCAGTCAACAAAGACTTCTTCCAGACAGACTCTCACAGCAACCACCACAGGATAAAACCCTGGACCTTATCTTCCATTCAGCAGCACTCATGTTGTTTGAGACGCACGCTCAACCTCGAAGCACAACGAGCTTTCTCTGTGACTTGACCGTGCTGTAAGTCAGTGCTGATAAAAATACACTACAAACAATTAACAGTCATTTAAATATTCATATCGGGGGGGGGGCAAGGCCTTTTATCAGCCACTTGAAGATACGGTAGTGAACCCTGATACATTTCACCAAGGTTAACTTTATCCTAAAGATGCTACCCTAGTGCATAGAGTACTAAGACATCAGAACGGCCGTTGGACAGTTTATACCTATAATATTCTTACTTGATATACTACAACTTCAGAAATGGTTGATTCATATGAGCAAGCTTTAAAACATATTGGAAGCATTCACTTCATTTGACTAATGCTGATATGACACATTTATATATATCTTTTAAAAGCATTCGCTCCCCGTTTTTCTACCCAGGAAAGCGATTTTTCTTCCACAGCATTGGAAACGTCACCTCAAATTATCACTTGAAGGTAGAACTGCTCCTGAGCCAAATGATACTGTATAGAACTGCAAACACTGTCTCCCCCAGGTGACTTTAGGAACTAGGATTTCCTTTCCTGTAAGCGTTCAGATCTGTGCTTTTGCCTCTGGAGCTGAACGCAAAGCCAGTGGTGAGTGTATGCTATCCTACCCATATGCACATGTAACTTGGCATTAACATGATCTGTACCCACACAGTGATAAACTAAACAAAAGAACTCTTGAGTCTAAATATAGAAGTGATGCTGGAGAAAGCTCTGTGAACCTCCCTCTGCATGTAGTCTTACTGAGAGACTCCTCTCCCCGGGTGAGTTTGCAATACTGACAATGAATCGGATTCAGTGGTGCTATTAACCCCCTACTATGAAAAGGCAATAGGAAAACGTTCCTAAGTGCTCTGGAAAAAAAAGCCACAATGAGCTAATAGTTGTTTGGCTTGGGTTTTTTTTTAGGTCTGGAATGCAGAAAGTAAGATTTTATAAATGGGAAAAGTCAATGTTCAATAGCTATGTTAGTTCATTTGCATTTCTCATCTGTAATATCGACTACTCAGGCTTTTCTCCTTAAATAAACGGTCTGCTGCCTTTCAGTTCGGGTTAAATTTATTTACTCAAGTATACAGGACAGACCCAGTAGCTAGAGTAAGGAGGCATGGTTAATCTACAGCCTGTGATACCATTGAATACTTGGCTCTTGCAAAACCAACCCCAAACAAACAGAAAACCAAAACCAGTTCCTGAGAGAAATCATTTTGCGTCCTGAAATACTGATTTCTTCATCCTACAGTTGCAGAGGCTGAGCAGTAATAAATGCAATCAGGTTTCCAACAAGGAAATTCATCACGAGT